GCCTAAAGGCAAATACAATATGATCACAACCACGTGATCAATCTTCGACATAATGGAATTTCAACTTAATATGGTTAATATTCAATCATCAATAATGTTTCACCTGTTGTCTATTCAGATCATAGAATATCAAGTTTGTTTATTACAACATCATCGTTGTTTAAATGTGTTTGTTTTTAATATATTTGATTTATGCCTTTAGGCGATTTAAATTACATTGTCAAGTTGAATTTGTTTATTAAAGTGATTAGTAATAATAGGACGAAACGACCGTCCAATGCTTCCAGGTTGGTCTAACATCAATCGGTTTATGATCTCAATCAAAACGTAACAATCTTCACAACCCCTATACTGATAATTTTCTTTTCTCTTTTTTTTTGTTTTTTTTTAAAATGTAAAGTCATAAAGGTTAAATAAGCCCATAATTAATTACCACCTAGTGAGTAATTGAAAGGTGTTATATAATGAATAAACTTCAATAGAAAAAAGATTCATACACCAACCCAATTAGAAAAAACAAAAACGAATAATTATTAATTGAATTAATAAAAGATAAGAAGTTAATAAACAGATGGTTTAAAGAAGGGAAAGGAGAATAGATCGTTCATTGAAACATTGAACCATGTTATAATTTTTTTGTCTCTTTATTTAACTATTTCATTTCATCTCTTTACTTATTTATTTAAAGTGAATAATTCAGATGGTAGTGAATATGATGATCTTAGATGAACTATTAAAGAGTGAATAAATTGAAGGCCTATAAAAGTCATTTATTGAATAGACATTTGTTTAGTTTATACAAATAAGTAATGATGACTGATTACACCCCGTGGTTGAGAGTTATTTTTATTGTCATCATATGACAAGTATGAAAATTTTTCCCATGGTTAGAAGTATTTATTCGATGGATTCGATCCAGGCTGGATTCCGTAAGGATCGTTCGTGCACAGACCAAATTACAACACTTCGGATCATCGTTGAACAATCGATTGAATCGAATTCGTCACTAAACATCAACTTCATTGACCATGAGAAAGCATTTCACAATGTGGACAAGAGAACATTATGGAAACTTCTTCGACACTATGGAGTCTCTGAGAAGATTGACAATATTATCCGGAACTCATAAGACGGACTATACTGGCAAGTCAAGCATGGATCCATTTCTTGTAAGGACCGGAGTCAGACAAAGCTGTCTATTCTTCCCCTTCCTCTTTCTTCTAGTGGTTGAATGAATTATCAAGACCTCGACATCAGAGAGAAAGCACGGAATACAATGGATAGATCAGAATCAATTAAACATTTGGATTTCGCAGATGATCTAGCCCTTCTATCCGAAATTCAGATGAACACACTTACTGCAGCAGCAGCCTCTGCGTCAGTAGGCCTCATTATATATCAAAGAAAAAGCAAGGTCCTCAAATACAATAGGGAGAACATCAACCTAATCACACTCGATGGAAAAGCTCCGAAAAATATGGAATTCTTTATGTACCTGTTCATGGACTTCACCGGATCACACCACGCAAACCAACTCGACCATATTTGCATCAACAAAACGTTCAGGAGGACTATAGAGGACGTGAGAACCAAGAGAGGAGCTGATATAGCATCAGATCATCACTTGCTGTTCGCCAAGATGAAATTGAAACTCAAGAAGCACTGGACAACGGGACGACAATATCAAAAAATTTCAATACGGCCTTTCTTCAGGATACTAACAAACTCAACAAATTCAAGATAGACCTCAGCAACAAGTTCCAGGCCTTTCATGATCTACTCAGCGGAGAAAGAACTACTGTGGAGAGCAACTGGAAGGGGATCAAAGAGGCAATCACTTCAACATGTCATGAGGTCCCGGGTCACAAGAAGCACCATTACAAGGAATGGATCACTATTGATACACTGCATAAGATTCAAGAAAGGAGGAACAAGAAGGCAGCAATCAATACCAGTCGAACAAGAGCAAGAAAAGCCAATTCACAAGCTGAATACACAGAAGTAAACAAACAAGTGAAGAGGAGCATCAGAACCGACAAACGTAAATATGTGGAAGATTTAACAACGACGGCGGAAAAGGCTGCAAGAGAAGGAAACATGAGACAATTGTATGACACGACAAAGAAACTCTCTGGAAATCGCCGCAAACCAGAACGACCTGTGAAAAGCAAGGAAGACGAGGTAATCACCAAAATTGAAGAGCAACAAAACAGGTGGGTAGAACACTTCAAAGAACTCTTGAATCGACCAGCTCCACTGAACCCACCCAACATCGAAGCAGCACCCACGGACCTCCCAATCAATGTTGGCCCACCAACAGGCAGGATTCCGTAAGGACAGATCGTGTACAGACCAAATCGCAACTCTACGGATCATTGTGGAAAAATCAATTGAAAAGAATTCATCACTCTACATCAACTTCATTGACTACGAAAAGGCATTTGATAGCGTGGACAGAACAACACTATGGAAACTTCTTCGACACTACGGCGTGCCTCGGAAGATAGTCAATATCATACAGAATTCATATGATTGATCTAACTGCAAAATCGTGCATGGAGGACAGTTGTCGTTCGAAGTGAAATTCGGTGTCAGGCAATGTTGCTTACTCACATCCTTTCTCTTTCTCCTGGTGATCGACTGGATCATGAATACGTCAACATCTGAAGGGAAACACGGGATACAATGGACATCTAGGATGCAATTGCACGATCTAGACTTCTCAGATGATCTGGCCCTTCTATCCCAAACGCAACAACAAATGCAGGAGAAGACGACCAGTGTAGCAGCAGCCTCAGCAGCAATAGGTCTTAATATACATAAAGGGAAAAGCAAGGTTCTCCGATACAACACAGCATGCACCAATCAAATCACAATTGACGATTTGGAAAATGTAAAAACCTTTACATATCTGGACAGTATCATTGATGAACATGGTGGATCTGATGCAGATGTGAAGGCGCGGATCGGTAAATCAAGAGCAGCATATTTACAACTGAGGAACATCTGGAACTCAAAGCAACACCAAGATCAGGATTTTCACTAAAAATGTCAAGACAGTTCTACTGTATGGGGCGGAAACCTGAAGAACTACGAAAGCCATCATTCAGAAAATACAGGTGTTTATTAACAGTTGTCGACGCAAAATACTTCAGATCCGTTGGCCGGCCACTATTAGCAACAACGTACTGTGGGAGAGAACAAACCAGATCCCAGCGGAGGAAGAAGCGCTGGAAGTGGATATGACACGCATTGAGGAAAGCATCCAACTGCGTCACAAGACAAGCCCTCACGTGGAATCCTCAAGGCCAAAGGAGGAGAGGAAGACTAAAGAACACATAACACCGGAAAATGGAGATAGACATGAGAAAAATGAACAAGAATTGGATGGAACTAGAAAAGAAGGCCCACGACAGAGTGAGTTGGGGAATGCTGGTCGGCGACCTATGCTCCATTAGGAGTAACAGGCGTAAGTAAGTAAGTTATGTACCTGTTGAACAAGGAGGACCGGATGCAGACGTAAAGGCTCTTTACTCGAACACTAACAGTCGATTCAGAGCTTATGGGGAACTCTCATCTGCTTTTGCAACCTCAGGTGGTGTCCGTCAAGGCTGTCTACTTCCTCCATTTTTGTTCAATTTCATCAGAGATCTACTAATGCAAATAATGCTCTCATCCACTGAATTCTCAATTATTGATCTCCTACCACGAGGTCCACTTATCGAATTGGAATACGCAGATGACATAGTTCTGTTTGATGAAGACGTTGATAAAATGCAGTGTTTTGGTAGCACTGAGCAACAATGCCAGAATGTTTGAGATGCGCCTCTCCCCCTCCAAATGCAAGTTATTGCTTCAGGACTGACTGGACTGCGTCAACACCTGAATTAAGGATAGGGAGTGAAGTGGTCGAATGCGTCAACAACTTCACTTATCTATCTTGGGAGTCTGATCATCCCTAATGTGTTGATGTCTTACGAAATCTGTGCACGGATTCAAAAAGCTCGTTTGATTTTTGTCAAGTTACATCACCTATGGCGAAGGAGAGATATTCGCCTGTCGAATAAATGGGAGTTTACTGCACAGCAGTTCGTTCTGTTGTCCTACTTTAGGGTTGCGAACTGTGGCTATTAATGGTAGAGGATGCTCGTGAGTTACTAGTATTTGACAACAGATATCTTAGAAATATTGCTCGCGTCTGCTGTGATCACCGGGTAAGTAATAGTGAGGTGAGACGCAGGGTATTAGGGAATGATGTCAAATCAGTTGATGAGATTGTGAATCTTCATCGACAGGGATGGTTGAGCCACGTGTTACGTATATCTGAACACAGATTACAACGATGTGCAATGCTGACTAGTGTTGTAGATGGATAGAAGAAAGTTAGGAGCTGCCGAAACAAAAGGTGGCACCAGTCCATATAGTCACCAGCTTCTGGTGTGAGCCACGTTGGTAGATAGATTACTTGGTTGGGGTGCTCGTGACTATCGTAACCATCGGTTTGAGACTCTGGATGACATGTCACAGGGTCGATCACAATGGCGTAGGTGTATACACTCTTTGTTTTTTTCCTAATAGCATGAGATTAAAATTACTTTATTCTTTTCGTTCTACGAACTTTCTGTTACACATTACTACGATTGAAGTGACTACTTTTATGAATTCGGTGTTCATCTTGTTGTGCAACTTGGACCGATGCATATATGTGGCTGATCCTACGTTGTAGCTAATGTTTTCTTTTAGGAAGTTTTCACGTTTAATACTGTATTAAGTTTTTCTACCAGAAATTGTTATTACATAGAGATGAATAATTGATTTATGAAGTTAGTCCCTGTTTACTTTGATCACATAATACACTGTATGAATTGGTAAATTCAATTGCAAAGACAACAAAAATTGTTGATTGAAGTAAAAAAAATTTAAATTGGCGCCAGTTTAAAACTGGTATATTTATTATTTCTGATCATTTGAAAGTCTAATATTCATTCAATGATTTACTAAGCATAACGAATGTATTCTATAATTGTTATAATGAATTATTCTTGCTTAGAAACTGAACATAATAAAACACAATTTTTGTAGTAATCTCTCATTACATTAGATGGATGGATGTCTGAATGAATAACACAATAGTTATTCTTTAAATTATTTTAATTATCATCAAATCATAATTGGTTTGTATTAGTTACTTTTGAAGAAGAAGAAGAATAAAGAAGAATTACAGTTGAATAATGTACATGTCTAAAAGAAAGGGAAACAATCGACAAAATATTACAAACATGCAACATTATCATTGTAATGATAATAATATTCATAATGTACAAATGAAACAGTCAATTGAAGAAACTGTACAATATAAAAGATGATAATAGACGAACTATGTGTAACAAGAAGGAATCGGTCTAAGATATTTATTCCATTTCTCCTTTATATTATCAATTTCATTAGTTTCTTCATTATTTGTTTGAATACTACTATTTTGATTGTCATTCTGATCAATGTTTTGATGATTATTGTTTATTTGAGGTAAAATCCAACTTTTTGGCAATTGTGAACTAGTTAAACTATTCAATACATTTTCATTAGTAGGAATATCCATCTTAAGATATTTATCCCAAGCATATCTATAAAAGAGTGAATGTATTAAATTATGCAATATTATACAATTGTGTACCACGTAACAGTTCAAAGTACCTGGTGACATACAGTTGTTGACACATACAACATCGAGCCAGAAAGTACTACAGTTTATAAATATCAAACGATAAATAACGGGAACATTGCCTCCAAACGCCTCAGTACAGCCGAGAGTGAGGAGAACCAGCTCTTCCTCTCCAAATGTTCTCACATGACCACGTGCATACAATCACTGCCACACAAGTCCTAATCGCCGACTTCTCGTGGCATTACTGTTGTTTACGAAATTGAGAGGATGAAGAGCCAATGTCCGGCACTTTAACCGGGTTAGTAGATACGGAGGATTCACCTAGAGGAGTTGGAAAACCCTGATTTCAAACCAATGGTGCACATGAACTACAGGATCCCAAAGAAACAAATGACGTATGGACTTATTATCGGGACTGCATCTCCTAACGTTTCCGCACTGCCTTATGGATTAGACCTTTAGGTCAAAGGTTCGGGGTAAGGTCCCCTAAGGAAACCACTTGATTCTGTTTGGGCACCCAGGTAGTATATCAGCCCTCATATAAATCGAATTATTTATCTGGTGCATATGTGTTTGGTGCCTCCTTGTAAAAATGTTTATGTGTTAAAATAAATGAATAAATAATCTCTGATAATGCACAGTTATTCAGTAGAATATGCTATCTGAAAATCGTTCTTATTAATAGCCATTAAGAAGAGTGAACTTTTAATCTAAGAAATTAAGCATTTCTTACATAATATAAAACTACACCGACAACTCGAGATTGGTCGTACACAGGTTTGTATATACCAGTAGGAAGTAAAATGCATGGTGGCAGATGGTTAAGAAGATTGAAGAGAATGAGAACGAAAACACAGAATGATTAGTATGGAAACTAAAGAACAATCAAGTCTGAGATAATTGATTGGCATTTAACAAATGAAGTATTTACCATATGGGTCTCAGATTTTACTACGAGATTTTTTATTCAAATACGTTTGGTTGTCCCGCACTTGTGTTCTTGTTCACTACACAATGACATTTGTCAGACATTATTAACTCGCATATGTGACGACGAAGTTGAGAAGAACCAAAGTAATTGGAATACGTCAATCAATTTACAAAGAAATGAATTTAGATCCTCACTACAAAACGTATATTTATACCAGCGACTGTAAGTGATATATATGTATGCAAAGGTACTGGTGAGACCATTACACTGACAAAACTTTGGAACCTAGACCCAATAACTGAAAATCAGGTGTCTAAAACAAATAACCACTATTCCATACTTTACCGTACATTTATTTGAATTATATCTGTTTATTATCAGTATTACCATTAGTTTTGAAGAGACAAATAAAAGTGTAAAACCTGCCTGATTCGTATGAAATCACAGAAATTATAATCAGCTTGATGATAAAAACGTTCCCAACGTTGTGGAATCTCTATATTACAAAAAAAAATCAAACTTATGCAGTTCGAATCAAGTATACATAATGAAATATTAATCCAACTTGAAAGTTGAACAATAGGTTCAAGACTAACAAATTACAACAAATAAATTCATGGTGGGTGTGGTGGATTAGTTGAAGCTGGACATTAACACTGTTGGATGCCGGCCGGCCCAATGGTCTAGAGGTTAAACGCTCACGCGCAAGACCGATAGGTTCTGGGTCCGAATCACGAGAGGCGGCGGGATCGTGGATGCGCACTGCCGAGGAATCCCATAGTATCAATAAACGACTGTCCAGTGCTTTCAATTTTTCTATGGTGATCTAGCCTCAATTAACTCATGATCTCATTTATTAAAATTACTATAATATCCACGAAACCCCTTCTGTTGTTAAGTTTATAAAATTTAATTATACTACTTAAGTAGACAAATACTGAACAAGATAATTTGTAATGGTACAATTGTTTTTATTTACAATAGTAAACAAAGACACTGAATAAATGGATTTGTTTACAAATTAATAAAAACGTATACAATTAACACATGTATTATTTTTCTAGATTTTCAACAAGAAGTTTAAAATCTATTCATTACTGGAAGAACCTACTATAATAGTTGAATTGAAAAAGTGATAGGTGATTACATAACGCAACATCTTGACCGTACAGTTTTATACAGTATAAACAACAAATTTTCACTTAATAACCACGAGATTAATGCGACTTTTTATTAATCCCTGAATGATAAATATTTTCACTCTATTGTAAACTAACTTTAATCAGAATGATAATATGTAAATAAAAAAAGAACAAGGTTTAAAGCTTGCTTTCAAATTTTTTGTAATCAATGATGGATAGTGGCTAGCAGTGGAATTCGGGATGCGCGTTTCGTCCTAGTCGGGACTCTTCAGCTGGATCTACCTGCATACCAAAGTCAATGTTCACTCTAGGACTCGAACCCAATACCATTCGCTTCAAACGCCATCGCGTTATCCACTCAGCTACTTAGTCCTGATAGTCACTTGCTTGTGTAATGACTGATCAATTGCAGTCTTAAACCTCAATGGGAAGATACAAGCTAAACAATACCAAGTGAATTTGCTTTCAAGTGTTTACAATTCCTTCACCCATTTACATTTTTTATGTATACGATTTCACTAGTATTTAATTGATTAAAAGGAAAAGATTATAATTCTATTTGGCCAATGTATTATCATCTCAATGATTATTTTTCTGGTTGAACGTTTAGTGAAGTATGCTACCAATAATTAGCCACAATAAATGGAATATTAATATTATGAAGAAAAAAAGGGTCATGCGATCAACCAATCAATAAATGAGTAAATTAAAGTAGTAATTAATGAAAGACACAACTCAACTGGAAATACAATCACGACTTCATTCATTGATGTGAGTTTGTTTTATATTTATCTAGGATTCAATGAAGGATTACAACAGCATCCACTACCGGTTTATAATTGCTAACTTTGCATGTCACTAAATTCCACGATCTGTAGGATACCAACAGAGTTGTTTTGACAAACAAACATATGCTAGGCCTATACAACTAGATTTCATATCAAAGTGTCACACCATACACTAACCACCTGTCGTCATTTCTATCCAGTCCCAGCACTGGCATATAATGACAGGTAATGTAGAACTTGCTATGAATTTTTAAGTATAATCTAAAATACCTTTGCATACTGATCAAAACATTGAAAAATTATTTTTTGCAGTCATAGAATAAAAACTACAGTGTTAAACGTTTCAAGCGCTTAGTTCTATCTCTTGATATACAAATATACACTATCGCTAATTCTTAACCCTAAACCACTGATTATGAAACAAGCCTTAACTTGATGGCACTACATTTTATAGATGAGTTAATCAGACAGTGTCTCTTATATTTTTGGGCGAAATTCATTCATCCATGTGACTATAACACTTAAAAACCGTAATCCTAAACCACTAGCTCTTACACTAATTACTTAAACCAAACTAGGAATAATGTGGGTCCTTTTTAACCGTTCAGTAAAATATATAATAAATGTACATTAAGATGAGTTTATATGTCATTGTATTTTTGGATATACAAGCACAGTAACCTGTAGAAAACATTAATTGACTCATTAATTATGTAAAACTGGTTTATAGTTGGCACTATTATTTTGATTTCTGTAAACTATTAATTTAAAAAGGCTGTTTTCTGATCGGTTAGAAGACAGGTGAAAATTCGTCTCAAGTATTTTAACCTCGTCTATATACTATAATTTCGCCAATACGGAATTAGATGAGTATTTTTACTAACCCCTAACAAACACTGTACTATATATATCACTAGTATTTTGAAGTTAGGATTTTCAAAGCACACTTACTGGCAGTTCGTCACATTATACGCTACAACTATTTCATGAGAGATATTAATACTAAATAAACAACTGTTTGTATGGTGTAAAATGTAAACCGTTTTGAGTCAATTGTCCTATAATCATTTACAAGAAACATTTTAAAACGATCTTTCTCGTTGTGTTGCTCTCTTCAATACTGAATCACTTTATTGAATTAGTGATCATTGGTATAATTGAGTGATACAGATAAATATATTTAAAAATTATTCCGATGAATTATACATAAAAAAGTTATAAAGTAAACAAGATACTTACTGGAAGAATTATTGGTAGAATAATTTCCAAAAAGTTCCATTTTTATTGATTTTGGTAAATTGGGCACATGAATACAATAATTACCTTCAGTTCGAGATACTGTATTGTAGTTGCTTTTGGATTGACGATTTACAATATTTCTTATTGCATCCTTTAATAAAGAAAAATCAAAAATAAACAAGTTATAGATGATATGAACCATGAAGAAAAAACAACAACAATTCACTTATGGACATTTCATCAACTTCCTACTATCAAATTCATATAGATCTAGTCAATGTAAACTTTAGAAAAATTCAGTCCAGTCACTCAGCTTTAATTTAATCCATGGAGAAAACAACACAGTATGTTAGAGGTTATTAAATTATTAGTAATGTTACATAATTGTGAAATATAAGTGATCACAATGACGAAAAGAACACTCATAATGGTAAAACCAATTAATTATCAAATGCCCACCTTTCACTCTTCTAGTAAGTCATCTAGAATGTAGAACCAGGCACATATATGCATCAGTCCCAGTTGTCATACCAAGTTAGCATAACAAAATGGACACAAGATTCATAAAAGCAGTTACTTCAATGGTAGTGTAGTGAACAAGAAAACCAGTGGGAACAATCGAATGTATTTAACACAAAATTACAGGACATGTTAATAAAATATAACAATCATAAAGTAAATGCATAAGATGCAAATTGTCCATCAATTGTCTCAAAATGACTCAGATTTCATTGTTCTTGCATTTTCATACAAGTTGCATTTTGCTCCCATTCTTTACTGTTCGATCCTTTTGTCTCTCTACTGCCAGACCTTCTGTTCAGGACTAGCATCACATAATGCTTATGTTATTATAAGTAGCACACATCACAGTAGTAATATATATATATAAATAAAGATTCCATATAAGGATATCATACTGGGAGAAAGAAGTAGTTCGTAGAAAGAAAAGAATAAAGTAATTTTAATCTCATGCTATAAGGAAAAAACGAAGAGTGTATACACCTACGCCATTGTGACCGATCCTGTGACATGTTATACACAGTCACCAACCACTGTTAATGATAGTCGCGAGGACACCAACAAAGTAGTCTGTATGCACGAACGTGGCTCACACCAGAAGTTGGTGACTATATGGACTGGTGCCACCTTTTGTTTCAGCAGCCCCTAATTTTCTTCTATCCATCTACAACACTAGTCAGCATTGCACGTCGTGGTAATCTGTGTTCAGATATACGTAACACGTGGCTCAACCATCTCTGTCGATGAAGATTCACAATCTCATCAACAGATTTGACATCAATCCCCAATACCCTGCGTCTCACCTCACTATTACGTACCCGGTGATCACAGCAGATGGGAGCAATATTTCTAAGATATCTGTTGTCAAATACTAGTAACTCACGAGCATCCTCTACCATTAATAGCCACAGTTCGCAACCCTAAAGTAGGACAACAGAACGAACTGCTGTGCAGTAAACTCCCATTTATTCGACAGGCGAATATCTCTCCTTCGCCATAGGTGATGTAACTTGACAAAAATCAAACGAGCTTTTTGAATCCGTGCACAGATTTCGTAAGACATCAACACATTAGGGATGATCAGACTCCCAAGATAGATAAGTGAAGTTGTTGACGCATTCGACCACTTCACTCTCTCTCTCTCTCCTTAATTCAGGTGTTGACGTAGGCCAGTCAGTCCTGAAGCAATAACTTGCATTTGGAGGGGGACAGGCGCATCCCAAACATTCTGGCATTGTTGCTCAGTGCTACCAAAACACTGCATTTTATCAACGTCTTCATCAAACAGGACTATGTCATCTGCGTATTCCAATTCGATAAGTGGACCTCGTGGTAGGAGATCAATGCCCGAAAATTCAGCGGATGAGAGCATTAGTGGGTTTATGGTGACGACGGACACCACTTGAGGTTGCAAAATCAGATGACAGTTCGTTATAAGCTCTGAATCGACTGTTAGTGTTCGAGTAGAGAGCCTTCACAAGGTTTATTTACTTCAGAGGTACACCATGCAATGACAGACACTGCCACAGAACGTCTCGGTCTACTGAGTCAAATTCTGCTTTTAAGTCAGGAGAGACCAACACTGTTGGACGCCGATAAACATGCCTGTGTTCTAGAACCTAACGAATGGTGAATATGTGGTCGATGCAGCCACGACCAGGTCTGAAGCCGGTCTGATTTTTTCGTGTTTGCAGTTCACGACTCCTTGTTAGGCGCCCGACAATTATTGAGGATTTTAGACATTATATTAGACAAACTAATCCCTCTGTGGATATCATAGGATAATTTTGAACCATTATTATATATTGGGACGACCAGTGATTGCGGCTAGTCACATAGGATCACGTCTAGTCCCCAGATTTTAGCTGAAATATTAGTTAATTTAATCGCTAAAACTAAACCATCATCCTTAAAGATCTCTCAAGTTATTCCATCTGGACCAGCTGCTTCTCCTCGTCTCAGATTAGCTATAACTTTTTTTAAAATCTCAATTAGAGTGGGGAGAAGACTCTTTCAATGTTCTATTCAGGGTGTTTGGAAATGGTGGGTAGGTGTAAAGAAGCTGAAGGCTAGCTGAACTTCTCCTTAAAATGTTCCGCCTATCGTCCTAAGCGTCTAGACTGAGAGCAGGTAGTGCCATTTTTTGAGATTGTCTCAGTTACACTTGACTTTATAATTCCGGTTTCCTTTATTAGCTCGAAAAGCTAGCTCGTGTTACCTTTTCCATCTCTTTTATTGTCGTTGCCCACCACTGCTCACGATCGTTCCTCAAACTTCTGGTTAACCTAGATCTGATTTGTTTCCGCTCTTCATCATGTTCGGATCCTGATAAGTTTACGAGAGTCTACCAGTGCAATAGATGAAGCAGAAATTCAGTTTTTTCGTAACCCATTGGTTCAAATCACTAATAGATGTCGCTGCTGTTTCTACAGCTGTTCGTATATCTTTCCAATCAACATCTGGGTCAGCTTCGTTTTCAGAGCTACCTAAGTGTGACCTCAGTTGCTCATGGAATTTACCCTTGGCTTTCTCATCGCTGAGTCCAACTCTAATGTGTCTTTTCTGAGTCCAGTGAGGCGCAAGCAAATTAGTGACCGTATTAGAACAAGATCAGAGACTAAACATGTACTTCAGAACGAACGTCAGTCTTCTACTTGGCCTCTCCAACGATGGCTGATGGCAATATGGTCTATCTAAGTCCATCGTTGGTTTGGTGCAGGCGGTCACCATGTTAGACGATGTCTCCTTATGCTTAAAATTAATGCTTGCTAAAAGCAAGCGATTGTCTGAGCACAGTTGCAGCAGACGGTCACCATCACCTGTTCGTTTAGCCGGAATAATAAAATACCCACCTAAGTATTTCTGTTTGATTTAAGCTACCTACTTGGGCGTTAAAGTCACCTGCTACGAGTATAATGTTTGAGTGCTTAGCTTTTTAAAACGTTCAGAAAGCTTTCTGCAAAATTCATCTTTCAGTTCATCCGGGATACAGTCAGTAGGAGTGTAGGCAGAAATTATCAGAAGGCAAAGACGTGTATCCCTATCCTTCGAGTTCTTACGGAGCCGTCTAACCGAATAGCACATAGGTGACTATTAACAGGGATTCATTCTAAAACTGTTCTGACCCCATACCTAGTGCTATGCGTACAACCGCAAGTCCATAAGAATTCGCCTTGGAATCATTAGATAAACTGAAAGTGTATCTTGTCGACACTACATTTTGGTTAGGATACTGTATGTGTACTTCGGAGACACAGCGTACATCAATCGTACGAGAATCTAGGGTCTTAGCCAAGAAGGCCTGTTAGCCGATTTGACATAGGGTACGTACGTTGAAGGCTCCAATGTGTAGTTTGGAGCGAAGTTTCAGTAGACCTGGGACAGCAATTAACACACTAGGATCGTTGGCCATGGTGACACTCGAGGAGGAAGTTTAGAGTTGATAGTCGAGGTACTAGGAATAATAGAACAAAAGAGAAAAAATGATTATCAATACAAATGTCTTGAGAGCTATTAAAGGTATGAGGGTGGTTATTACTTCCCGGTCGCCCACACCATGGAAGGATTCTTTTAGAGGTGCCTGAAACAAATCGGGTTAAAGGTGGTGTTAGTGACCCGAGAGCGTGACCGAAGTTCCCAAGGGACAACTGTTTGAGACAGGTCACACATGACCTGTTTGTGGGTAATTTTTGTGTTGGCTCCGTACTTGTTGAAGCCTTGCTACCAGAGACGGAAATTAGTGGGATAAGGTGGTGTGCATTTTTAAGGTCGACCTGTTCCCACCATTCTTTTGTGAGAAGGTAGGATCGGTGTCATGCTGGTTGTCTGAGGGAAACACCTTACTGCCTTCACACCTCTGTACAGTCAGCAGTACGACTTCGCCCTCAGACCTTGGGTTTGTTGCTTTCAGTCTTACCGCTCATCAACCGACCTGCCTGGCATGGTGTGATCGCGAGGAACGATTGTTCAAGTCAGTATAGCTCGATTGGTTCATCACGATAGACAAGCACCATCACCACATCAAGGTAGCAACAACGGTCAGTCACTCTTGTAAGTTACAATTGAAAAATACTATAAAATTCAAAAACAATTAAGTAATTCTCCGTTATAACTACTTATTACTTAAGAAAGCGCACAGAAGGGGGTATTTTCATAATAAAACAAAACTAACGATATAATAAGACTGAAAAAATTGAACTGTTATTTGAAAACATCAAGTGATTTACTAGATATAAAAAGGGGTAATATCTCTAAACTTAAAGTACAAATAATTATTTGATTGAATAGTTTATATTCATGTATCTGATCTTTTGTATAGATGATTATCTTCATTTTTTATGTGGATCCTATTGGGGGTTGACATATCTAACCAACAGCATTTGCATTATGAACTGACAAAACAAGAACTCCTACTACCAAGTTTATAGGAGAGGTTTATTATATTTTGTGCACTGAAAATGGAGCTCTGTATCACGAAAGTTGTCTTCACAAATAGATGGTCATGCTTATATAGACACATGAAATTCCTAAGGAAGTATATGTTTTCCTCCTTGCCTCTTTATTGTCGAGTGACAAATTAAACTAACATGAATTATGAAGTGTTATGCTAGGTCATGACAGCTAGTTTACAGTTTCACTGGGTGGTGATCAATGTCATGTGCGTCAAGTCCTTCTTAGTGCAGATCGAATCATATAGACCACGTTGCAATGTGGCCACTAGTCTAGGTGACACGACATTGTGTGCATTATGTTGAGATAAGATGATAGTTAGAGGTAGTCAACAGGAAACCCCAGACCCGAGTTCCGTGCTGTTTGGCACTTGTCAGCAAGATGTACCTGTCATCTTGAGGGAACTGGTACTCCTTGACAGATTCTATCCTGTGTCACCCAGCTTCACAGTCAGAGACGTTACCACTGTACTATCCGGGCCGCGACCAACCTCCTGTAGGACTGAGATGTATTCACAATTGGCCATGACTTACATAATATGACTGTATATACAGTGTATGTGAATTTACATTTAAGTGTATTACATCAGGATGGAGATAATGTTAGTCAAAATTGAAATAATATTTATGAGATGAAATATATTCTAATACTCCATTTTTGTTATTCTTACAAATATTTCAATTTGATTAGAACAGTTGTGAATGATACAACTGATTACTCCTCTCTGTAATCAAGCCAAATTGTGATGATGTAACTACACAATAATATACACTAGACAATGACTTACTTTAACCTTTGAATATAATGATTCCAATTTCTGGATTTGAACAGATAATTGATCTTTTAGTTCATTTACATCTGAGTTGAATTTTTCGTTGAGTTGATAAGGAAAAAGTCCACCTGAAAGATGAAATATTTTTTTAAAAATGAATTTTGTACTTCAATTTAATTATTAGCTAGTTACTTTCTAATTATTATCAGTATCGACATCAGAATTAGATTAAACTGATTCTATACTACTGATTTTTTCATATGAACATACAAATCTAAATGATCAGTATAGGGTTGTGGAGATTGTTAAGTTTTTGATTGAGATCTTGAACCGATTGATGTTAGACCATCATTGAAAACCTAGAATCACTGGACGACCGTTTCGTCCTATTGTGGGACTCCTCAGCAGTGCACATCCACGACCCCGCCACCTCAAGAGATTCGAGCCCATGACCTTCAGTCTCGTGCGCAGGCGCCTAATCTACTTGACCACCGAGTTGGCATGCAACGGTGTTAATGTCTAACTTCAACCAATCCACCTGTCGCGCAGGTCGACCTGTCTTTACCTGACACTGAATAATTCCAATCACAATCTATAAGATATAGTCATCTGGACATTGAGATTTTGATTAGATTACAAATCTTAATATACATGAGTTCCATCTGGTTAAGAAATACCAACAAAGAGTGTATGTTTGAAATTTCAATACAAATACCCATTAGATTGTTATGAGGAGTCAATTATCTTAAACTTGTTGATAACGTATTATAATAAGTATTACACTTGGAATTACAATATCAAGCTTAAAATATACATTGAACGAATGAATACCATAATAAACTTAAGGAAAATTAATTTTATTAATCCAACAAACATGTATATTGTGGATATTTTAGTGAAACTACAATTTATGGATGTTCTTTAGAGATGCTAAAGTGGCCTCGAGAGTATCCACCTACTGACTAGGATTAAATGAGGATTTTAAACCTGTATGAAGGATAAGGATTGTGATTTACAGTTGATGTTTAGGGATAGGGATTAGATTTAAAGTTTTCATCACGAACTGACATTAGCTAAAATGCTAAGACGCTATTTGGTCAAATCGGTGAGTGAATTTCGCGCTAAAATCCAAGATCTGTTATCATAAATCTGATTGATTCGTCCATAAATTATAGTCTTGCCTGTTAGCATTTAGTTAATCTAAGTCTTATTTAACGAATTACAATTACATTCAATTGACAAATAGTATAATTCACCTAAACTCTTCCATCTAAATACACGTATAAATTATTTGATATAAATTACCTTGTTGTTCAGCTTGTGTTAATCGTGCAGAACGTAATTTTTCTAAATTATCCAAAAGTCTTAAACGTGTTTGACATTCATCAATAGATTTATGTAATATTGTTTTCATTTGGCTTAAATGATGATTGTTATTTTCTTGATTAAGATTAAACCTGAAAAATGAATTGAAAAAAAATTCATAATTGAATAAATTCTGATTAGTGAGTTAGTCAGTCAGCTACAACGTAGGACCAGGCACATATATGCATTAGTCCAAGGTGCCTTACTTCATTAGCACAACAAGATGAACAAGTTAATAGAAGTAGTTCATTGAATGGTGGTAATATATAAAAGAAAGATTTTATGTAAGGATATAGTACAGGAAGAAAGGATTAGTTCGTAGGAAGAAAGATATAAATATATAATTTCATAGTTTAAAAAAAGACAAAGTGTGTATACACCTACACCATTGTAATCAATTCTGAGCTATGTCAGCCAGAGTCACCAACCATTGGTTACGATAGTCACGCGAACCCCAACCAAATAGTCTGCATCTAGCAACATGGCTCAGATTAGAAGTTAGTGACTTCAGAGGCCATGTTTTGGTTTCGCCGCCCCTAACTTTCTTCGATCCGTCTCCAACACTAGTCAGCATTGCGCGTCGTGATGATCGATGATCAGACATACGCAACACGTAACCCAACTATCTCAGTTGATGAAGATTCACTGAATTACTGACAACTGAATTTTATTTCTAATGAGCCAAACTATTTTGGAAAGAAATTTCACCGTTTTCTTTTTTGTTTTGAATACTAAGTGTGATCGTTTGATCCATTTAAGAAAGGCTTTAATGACCCGGGGATCTGACTCCAATTAGATCGTATGATTGATTGTTGTCAAAATACACATCCCGGCTATCCTCGTATAAAATTATCGACTTAAATTGAATTACTGAATAACGGAATTAAATAATTTAAATACGAGAATGGATTTTTGAATAGATGTATTTTGTACAATCATTGACCTGGACAGAATCAGAGAGGTAGAGAAGAAAAGAGAGCGAAGCAAAATGACGCGCGGTGGAAAAGGAGTGTGAGTCAACTTAATCAAGCGTTAATCAATATTTATAGTCACACAAAATGGCATGTGATGAGTAGGATAAGATGTGCACACACACGCATATAAAACAGTCAAGGGTGATAAGTGAATAATTAACAAGGTTAAAACATGACTCAAGAAGAATGGATAAATTGACCTGTCTAGAAGCTAGAATAAGGTATATGGGCTTAGCATATCAACCTACACTACAAGTTGAATAGATGTAAATTTGGTTTAGAAAATAAAAGTGTTTATTAAAAGTCCTATTCTGTTGAATAGACAAATAGTATCAGTACAAAACAAGATGAAAAAAATACAAATGAATTGGAATTAGCTATACTATGGATCACGGTACCCTGGCTTAGTGGTATTTACTCTAGGCTTCAGTGGCTATTATTTTCTTGACCAGGGTATCTAGCCTGTCGCATGCCCTGATGGTGTTCTCGGAACTTTCGGGTTGCCTGATCTACCAAGGGCAATGGGACAGTGTATGATGTTATTGTTGTGTGTTGTTCAAAGAGAATTATATGTTATATACATGCAAATCCGCCCCGTTATCGTTTCTATTTCTGGTTCATCAGGGTGCTTAGTACCTGTGTGGTTGCGCCACAGGACTGAGTTGTACTATTCAGATTGTAGCGTTAAAGCCTATATGGTGTCTGGTTCTCCTATGAAGCGGGACTGAGCTGTACTGTTTGGGTTGTCACGTGAAAGTCTGGATGGTATCTGGTTCTCCTAAAAACCAATGTAAAATAACCCTGACCCATAGCAGTATATTATATAACTATGAATAACTATATATGAATTAAAACAAATAATGTTCTCTAGCTAAACGATGATCTCTGATATCCCCAACACTAACCAAAAGGCTTTAAGGTATTTACATGACTGAAAAAAGAACTTACATCAAATCTTAATTCCAGGACCTTGAATATTATTAATAATCTAGTTATCTTTATTTGATGAATATATCTAAAACTAGTTTTTTGTGATTTTATTCAAAGACAGGGAGTAAAATCTTTATAGATTGCTAATGTATCATCAACAGATCATATCACAAATATAATGTCTTTTTTCTCTCTTTTAACAGTAACTTGCATTTAGATAAGATATCAGCTGATGAAGATAACCTTCAAATTACACAAAATCTCAATAAAAACTAAACTAGACACAGGTACTTTTTCTATTAGAAAAGAACATAGGTGTATGTGTAGGTCAAAAAATGTGTTGCATGAAACAATGTGACATACAAAAAAAACAACAAATAAAAGTGTAGTATAATGATAATGATAAAACAATCATAATTAACAGGAAGAAATTAATCATATGATAATGAAATATATATTGGTCAATTTGAAATCGATAGTAGAATGATTTCCATTAGATTTAACTTTAAAACATTTACAGCCTATTTCATCAACTATGATTTATTAAAAAACACAATTACATCCTGTTCTTTATGCCATACTTAACATCATATCATTAGAAAATAAGATGAAATATAATGATTATTATCATTTATTTAAACACATAAACATTGGTACAAGGAGGCACCAAACACATATGGGCCACATAGATCATTTGATTATGTGAGGGTTGAGTTACTCTTCCCGAGTGCCCAAACCGGAGCAGGTGGTTTTCTTAGGGGGCCACGCCCCCAGCCATTGACCTACAGGTCTAATCCACAAGGCAGTGCAACAACGTCAGAAGATGTAGTCCCATGGTAGCCGGTGACTAACGATTGGTTCATACGCCAATTGTTTCCTTAGGATTCTGTAGTCTATGTGCACCATTGGTTTGAAATCAGAGTTTTCCAACTCCCTTAGGTGGACCATCCGTATCCACAAAACCGGTTAAAGCATCAGCCATTCGCTTTTCATCCTCTCAATTTCGTAAACAACAGTAATGCCACGAGAAGTCAGTGAGTAGGACTTGTGTGGCAGTGGTTGTATGCACGTGGTCATGTGAGAGCATTTGGAGAGGAAGAGCTGACTCTCCCCACTCTCGGACGTACTAGCACATTTATAAAAGAAAACAATGTGTAGGCGTGAGGATACTCATTTGAAAGTTTAATATATTCAAGGAAAATAAAATATGGAGTTATATGGTTACAAGAAACGTGAAGAGATAAAAAAATAGCCAGAACGACTCGATTAAAACAATATCTTTACAGTGTATACGGTTGAAATCATTGAGCGAAAACTAAAAAATCCAATTAGGAAGAAACGTTTGCATTAAATAATTGAATCATCATTAAAGTACCCATCACATTTTGAAATGCCTTTACACGGATAAAGTTACTCTTCAGATTTACAATGAGATTTTGCATTATCCAAAGTGGAATTTAAAGATGTGCCAATTACATTAGTCAATCAGTCATACTCAAGGTACATCTTGCCACGTATATGGATCAGTCCAAGTCTCCATAACATATCAACATATCAAGATGAAATTGTCAGCAGAAATCCTAATGTAATAGAAGTAGTATCAGTAGTAGAAATAGTCATTTACATTTTTGTGAAAACTTTGAGATTTATAGTGAATGGAACACTATCCATGTGATTTGTTTTCCCACAAAAACTGACTCAATACATCTGAATCAGAATTGTCAAAGAATCTGATTTTAAAACGCAAAAGTTTAAAGTAGTGTAGTGAACGAGAACACAGTTGGGACAACCAAATGAATTTAGACATAAAATTACAGAATCTCGTACTAAAATCTGAGATCCATACAGTAAATATTTCATTTGCAAAATGTCAATCAATTATCTCAGACTTGATTGTGCTTTACTTTCTCGTTTTCATTCTCTTAGATCTTTTTAACTATCTACCACCAGACATTTCACTTTCAATTGGTGATAACATACTACTTATATCTGTCAACATTAGTAGCACACACCACAATAATACTAATCTATTTATTTAACTGGGAGCAATCGATTGAATACATCTCTCTTCTAGACAAATATCACCATTTAAAGGGAAGACTAAACAATTAATTAGAAATCAACCGATAATAAGAAGGGACTAACATTACCAATCAGTTATATATTAAATAACATATTTACAAGATTGTTGACGATTTCATAACTGAGATATTATGAATATACCGCTCAATAATTAATCTTATTATTAAAACATTAAATTCAATGGTATAAAACATGTGTGTATATTAGAAGAAGCCGTTAATCAAATTCAAAAGAATTAATGTAATTTCTTTTTTTTTTTAAAAAAGGAAAAACTACTTACAGTTTATGTTTTGATTCATTGTCAATAATATTGTTTGTATGGTTATCTACATTGATCTGCTGTTCATCATGAACACCTGATTGTTCAATAGTCAATGATATATCTGATTTTAATCGTTCAAGTATACTACCAGTTGTAGATTGTACAATTACAGAACAAGTTGATGATTGTAATTGTGAATTTTGTCTACGATCACGTATACGTTTAAGATAACGCTGAAAAGAAATTAATCAATTAGAATAAATGAAAATATTTTTCTTCACTTTAGTCAATTAGTGGATCATGATGAATATGGCGGTGAAATATTGTCTATTTAACTTAGATTACATAACATAAATTCCAAATTGATTAACACTAAACTAGAATTCAGAAATCATGATAAGAAAAAACGAGAAAGATTGGAAGAACAATTGATTTTAAGTTTCAAAATGGCTTGTAGGGAAAATGTATGTGTCTTCAAGTTGTTACTCGTTTTTATATGACCCTCAGTAATATAGAAAATAGATTGCTGCTGCAATGTCATAATACATGGACTTTTCCCATAAGTATTTTCATTTGTTTTCAATATGAGTTACTTAATGTAACTACGCAGTATAAATCAAGTTATTGATTTTATACCAAATAATGTAGACTGAGTAATAAAATTTTGAAGTAACAAATGACCCCTAAGCCTGGGCTAGTCGAGTAGAAAAAAGACGATGTTTAATATCTCATCAACGTTTAGTGAATATAGGTTTACGTTCAACGAGTTATATAATAATTGTTTTTTACAAACAACCAATTTGTTGTACTCAGTTTTAAGAAGCATTCGTTATGTAGGAGCGAGAGATATTTTCTTACTGGTCGAAGAGAAGTGAAGCAGCTTAGTTAACGTGTAAATCAATGGTTAGGAGTTGAGTACTTTAAATATTGTATCCCAAAACGACCTGGTACAGTCGAGGGTGAGGAGTGTCAGCTCTCCCTCTCCAAATGCTTTCACGAGGCCACATGTATAGAGCCACTGACGGGAAAGTCCTACTCACTCACTGCCTTCTCGCAATACGGGTGTTGTTTACGAAATCAAGAGGACAAAAAGCGAATTTCCGGCACTTAAACCGGGTTGGTGGATACGAAAGGTCAACCTAGGGGAGTTGAAAAACCCTGATTCCGAACCAATGGTGCACATGGGCTCCAGTATGCTGAACGAAGAAATGGCATATAAACCTATTGTTGGTCACCGGCTACCATGAGACTGCATCTCCTGACGTTGTTGCACTGCTTTGTGGATTAGACCTCTAGATCAAAGGCCTAGGGAGAGGCCTACTAATAAAATCACTGGTTTCGGTTTGGGGACCCAGGTGGCATCCAAACCCTCACACAAATTGAATGACGAAGTGTGGCACATATCTGTTTGGTGCCTCGTTGTACCAATGTTTATGTGTTCAAATAAAAATAATAAGCATTGATAGCAAGACAATTATTAAAAATGGTTACGGTATCATAACTGTTTAGTCTACATTAACTTTAAATTAAACAAGTCTATTTTCATATAAAGTAGCACTATAGTATACAATTCTTTAGTGAATGTCAAATTATTGCGTTATGGAGACTAAGCAACATTTATAAAATACTCTACGCTAAATGTATAGATCCTCTAAATGAAACAAAATAAATATATAAATTATATGATGATTTTAAACTATTTAATATATTAAAAGTTATAGTGATACAGTTATTGAGATTATTAAATAGTAAGTAAATGATTTCGTCGAAAAGAAAATTTTCTTCGCTGAATTCTCTTTTTCTTATTGAATATGTCTACTTGAGGGATTATATTCAAAACAAAAACCGATTAACAACTGTGTTATTATCATCATAATCAGAATATATATGAAAATTTCAGATTGTTGTAAAGGAAATAAATTAGAACATAGTAACTAAAACTTTGTAGCACTAATTAAAAGTACAGGCTTATTGTCCTGCGAGCGGGATCGTGGATGAGCACTACTGAGGAGTCTCACAATAGGTTGAAATGGCCGTCCAGTGTTTTCAGGTTCCCAAATGTAGTCCAGCATCAATTGATTCATGATCTCAATCAAAAATTATTGTAAGAGAGTTGTAAAGATTGACGGAGAAATAGATAATTTAAAGGTTGACATTTAAACATTCTTGATACTTCTGTTTCATATCTGTCATTTAACTAAAATGGCTTATGCCGTATATTGTATGCCGTTATAGGATTAGGATTTTTATAAAAATGCATTCTAAACTGTTTAATGGAAACAATTATTATGGTGGGTCAACAGGAAATCAATTATATTCATCGTGGACCAGCAGTAGCAACAAATTTATTGAAAACTACAATGTATTGTATAAATGTATCACTTAAGTTAGGAACCACAGACCACTACCATATGCTTCTCTTGTCAATATAACTGATAAGCAATACTAAACTGTAGTGATTAGAAATAATAAGTACCAATATTATGTCGATAGGTCAAATATTCTTCTTAATTATTAATTCATTTATCATATGATCTGAAAATACTTATTTAGCTATTTACTTTTTGAATATACTTTGCTGAATTTGGAAATGATGTATGAAGTCAAAAACGTATAAACACACAATTGACTGGCTTCAAGAGGTAATTCCTGGAGTTCTAGTGAGAAACAGTGCCCAGTGGGTTCAACCAGAGCTATTGTGAGATAGTAACTTACTGAAAACAATGGTGGATGTGTCTCTCAATTTCGTGGATCGGTTGAAGTTAGACATTAACACCGTCAGATGCTGGCTCAGTGGTCTAGTGGTTAAGCGTTTGCGCGCGCGAGATTGACAGGTCCTGGGTTCGAATCTCGCGAGGCGGGATCGTGGATGAGCACTGCTGAGGAGTCCCACAATGCAAGGAAACGGTTGTCCAGTGCTCCAGGTTTTCCATGGTGATCTAGCTGCAATTGACTCATAGTCTCAACCATTGAAATAATTATTTACAAAAAATATCTGCAACAGGCATGATTATAGTCGTGAACTGCCTATGAAATCACACACACTTTAAATTAGATTGGTTTCAAGAAATACATTTCAATTAGATAAAATGCAAAACTGATAACTATTATCATCAGTGTGGAGGGTTATGGAGATAGTTGAATTTTATTGAGATCACGATCTGATGCAAGTTAAACAAACATTTAGAACGTAAAAGTAGTGAAATGCTGTTTTGTCCTAGTATGGAACTCCTCAGTAGTGAGCATCCAACACCCCGCAACCGAGAATCAAATCCAATATCATCGAACCTTTCTTCGTAGTATAACTGATGTATAAGATCAAATAATGCATCGCATTCAAATTAAACAAAATTATATACATGAAATTCTTAACAAATTAATAATAGATTCATATTGACTAATGTAATGGGAAAACCATTTCTAGATAGTATGTGGTGATTATATGATATGTATGACAACAAAGATTCTGGTATAAGGATTAAGAAAGAGAGAACAACTGGAATATCATGATACAGTTGTAATCCTCATACTTCAGACGAATTCAACCTAAGGAAGTGAACAAGATGACAGACAAAAGTATGAACATAATGGTATTAACAGCAGTAAAAAAATCGAATACAACACAAGGGAACAGGTGAAAACAGAGCATAGAATAAGAAAATAAGTAAAAGAAAAATGGAGATGATGAGAAGTAAAGGCATATAACCTATGTGAAACCGAGTTCGCCTAAAGCTTTCAAACAGACATTATAACCATATTATGAACTGCATATATTTGTATCATTATAATTTTTTAACGCGTTTTTCGTTCTTCGGTCATGAGCGGAGATGGCTTAAAATGAAAACTTAACAATAAACAATTTAAATCTCTTGTGTTAATCTGAACTTTTCAGTTTACAAAATAAGCCAATAATCTCATCTGATCATTGATAACTTCGACTACGATTAATGTAATGATGTTAGGTGGGAATACAGATTTTTGACTAACTTAAAGAGTGATATCACTAGAAGCAACGAAACTGGAAATTGATAATTTGTAATTTTCAATCTGGTCTATTGTTCTCTTCTGTATTTGATTTTATGCTACGAATATTCATTATTCCTAAGATTTAAGCAATGGTGAGGATTTCTTATAAGCTATTTTTTATTGACGATAAAGTCTACATGAAAATTACAAATTAACAAACAAAAAACCTTAACAACAATAATGAAATGATAAATTTTTGACATACTCTTTTCTTGTGGATTAAACGAAGTTTCTTTTTCACTAAATTGACAATATGTGGATTTGTACAATATTGTTGAACAGCATTCAGTTCATTCTGGATAACAAAACAGAATTACAAAATTACAAAATAATCTACAAAAATCAGTCAAGTTGATATATGTTAACTGTTAGGTACAGTTATTAATACTATACCCAACCATCCCCCTTTACCAGAACTTGAAATAACCACTTACTCTAGAACGGTACACAGAATAGTTTCCAAATATTATAACGTTAAACAAACATCAGAACTCAAAACCATTTCACATGCTGGAATAAATTCACCAAACGATATCAATGTAAAACATATCTAGTAGCACTGGATAAGGTAAGAATTTGCTTGAAATAATCGAGAAGCTGGAATATTGGATCAGTTTAAGCCACATGAATTAAAAACTATTGAGATGAAAATAATGAGGATATGATGAACACGTCTGACACATTCTAAAACAAACACATATGTTCAATCAAGATTAGTTTAATCCATCTGTTATCATCAGGTCAATTTATCTATTATTTCTAACATACTATTTCTTTTATTTAACAAACTTTAACCACCAAAGATAAATTGTGTAATACAACTCAAAAAAACCATATCAACAACGTTGCTAAGATTTTAATCTATCTACTTATTAGCGATAGACTTGAAACATTTTACGTTTTAAGAAAACAGTAAAGCTTTAATCAATTTGATAATTATCGATTTCTACTTATTAATAAGCACAGTATTAATATTCAAGAGCAGACAGTGAAAGATCACGGTTACTTTCTCAACAATAACTAAAATACAGTTGGCGCAGATTTTTTAGGTTTTAGTTTCCACAACAATTTCGAAAAAAAATTTCGTACTCCATTTGAAGATGATAGTGTATTGATAGTGTACATTGAAAGGAGTTGGTCTAAATGTTATCAGATTACAATGTAGATAAATTATACTGATGTTTTAGGAATATCAACTTTTTCCCACTGAGAAACAGTGTAAGAGACAGTAATTTACAACTGAATGCTAATGAAAATCAATAAACGTTAGACGTTTAGCCGCAAGCAGTGATATTTAGATGAATGTAGTGAAGGAAGTTTAATACTCACAGACATGATACATCTCCACTATTCAGAATGACTATCCACCACACGATAACAACTATGAACAAAATACAACCCATTTCTCCTTTGCTGAGCCCTGAATAGTCTAAAGGTAGAAGGCAAACCTTAAGTAAGGGATTCACTTGATCTATAAAAGGAGATTTATACAGAAGTACGGATGTCGCATATAATTAAATTTATTGTCTTTTTGAATCAACATAGTCAACCAAAGACAATTTCAATAGGGACACGACAGCATTAAAACCAATAAAAATTAAACAATATAGTGTAATATTTGGTGGGGGGAAAAGTTACATTTGTACAAGTAAGTTACAAAAAAGTAGACCTTAGAAATTATTTTCTGAGGCCTGAAAATTTATTTTTAAAAAAAGCTTTCAGTAAAGGGTTGACTATAGTTTGTGTGATATCAAAAAAAAGTTAAGGGGTTTAGTAAAATTATCGTTAGCGTGTTATACTAACTAATTCATTAAAAATCCTTCCCCTGATTGACTGGCAATGTTGGTATGAATCAATACTTCCTAAATATTCACCGTGGTGGTTCAATTACATTTATTCGGGTTTCAAATTATTATACACACTTACTAAGGTTGCCAAAGTTTGTCCGTGTGTATCAGTAGGATTAGTGTTTCGCTTTAACATTGAAGTGACTATATTCTATCATAGACATATAGTTCCTAATTGAGCGTGAAAAGCACGAAGTTCAGTGAAGGGACTTCTTCCCAACGAATTTATCATCAAGCTGTACTATCGTATATATATATATATATATATATATATATATATATATATATATATATATATATATATATATATATATATATATGAGAATGTTTCATGAGAAGATATAAACAAAGAATATACATGTAATAGGAAGGTCACAATACAAGATTACGTAATGTAAATAGTAACAATAAAAGACTGTGTGCAAATAAAAGGCCTTGTATAATTGATAAATTCGCAGTGGATCATAGTGTGAATAGGGTAAGATAATCAAAAGGTTTTTGTTAAGATAATTGGTCATAGAGGAGTTAAATGAAATGGAATAATATCAGAAACAACAATGAATAGAATCATGTGTATATGAGAAATAATTAGAGAGAGGGATACTTTCAAATGCAAAAAAAATTAATAAGACGTACTTCTTTTGTACCCACAGTTCTGGCTTCAGTTCATGGACAGAAAGTCTGTTGTTTTAAGGAGTTGGATAGGAAGAAACCTAGGTTGATCTGGACAGATTGTATAAACAATCAGTGGAGTGATTAGAATTCAAGAACAGAACTTCTAACTGCTTCCCTCTCACCCTTGTAGAACCACACTGAAACATGTTCTCGTATCCGAGCTGAAAATAAGAGAAGGCTACAGCCCACGTATCTTGGTCCACAAGGGCAGGTGAACTGGTAGAAGCATACAGAGGCGACCAGGCTGGGGAGCTCATCCTTTACGGATACAGAAAACAAGTTTATACTAATGAGCCCGCAAATGCCCTGGTACGGCAGAGAGTGGGGAGAGTCCGCTCTCCCTCTCGAAATGCTCTCACATGGCCACGCGTATATAGCCTCTGCCAGGGAAGTCCTACTCACTGCCTTCTCGTGGCAGAGGTGTTGTTTACGAAATCGAGAGGACGAAAAGCGAATGTCCGGCGCTTTAACCGGACCACAAACCAATGGTGCACATGGGCTCCAGTATCCTGAAGGAACGAATGGCGTATGAACCAATTTTTGGTTACCGGTTTCCATGGGACTGCATTTCCTTACGATGCTCCACTGCTTTGTGGATCAGACCCTCAGGTCGAAGGCTCGGGGAGTGGCCCCCCAAGAAAACCACCTGCTTCGGTTTGGGCACCCGGGCAGTATCACAGCCCTCACACATATGAAATAAGATTTGTGTGGCGCATATGTATTTGGTGCATCCTTGTACCAATATCTATGTGTTAAAATAAATAAATAATAAATTTATACTAATGAACGTCAGTTGCAAATTTTCTGAACGGAACGTTCTTTTTATCGCTGCCGTTAACCGACTTTTGATTGGATCAGAAATTTGATCACCCTTAAATTCTAGATTCATATAAAGGTTCTTCTTTGAAACGGAATTATCAGATTCCTTGTTCCAACTTCTTTTTATGCTCTTCCCTATGAAGCAGCTTGGATAGCCATTTCCAGCCGAAGTTTTTCTGAAGAACACAAGTTCTTCCTCAATGCATACAGCACTACATATTTGATCTATTTGGTAACACAAAGAGTGTATAAGACTCCTCTTTCTGTTCAGTGGAACCCCGCTATAGGAGTTTATAAGTTGGATGTTCCATGTTCTTCTGTAAATGGACCTTTTTAAGGATCCACCACTCCTTATCAGACGCACATAGAGAAAAGAGATTGAATGACCAACTTCATTTTTTTTAACGTGAAATCTATGGAAGGATGGCATGTATTGAAAAAATGTAAAATGCCAAAGAAATCAGCATTCTCGTCACAAGTACAATAAATGGATAGCTAGTAAGTTTCATGTAGTACATGAAAATTCCATGTTCCACACTCAGATAAGTTATAAATACTTATCTCTAAGTAAGTCAGGGAATATGACAGTAAAAATACTAAGTATATCATACTTCATGAGTATTCTCGAAGTATTCCTCTTGTATCCAATAGCTTAGAAAGGAGATAAAATGTCAGTGAGCTTGTAACCAATCATCCACCGAGTTGCATATTGACTTTCAACCTCAACAAAGGATGATGGCTAGAGAAGTAAACTGTCAGAAGAATAAATGTGATCAGAAAAAGACATGAAATCAGTTCATAAAGTCAAAACTTATTGATTTGAGTTGTGTACAGAAGTCTAAGCTTCTTTGCTGTGGTCATTACGACACTACCCAATCTTCACTATTATCAAGTATTTGTTGACTCATAATCAACTAGAAGGAGATCAAGGTAATCGATCAAAACTAACTCCGCCTGTAGCTCTTATAGGGTTACTGCCGGTCCCAAGCCCGGGTAAAGGAGGAGGGTTGGGCATGGGGTTAGCGTCCCCATCCCGTAGAAAACTAACTCGCTAAAAAAACGCTAACCAGAAAAAATAATCCAAACCATTTAAACTCTGCCCTGGGAGTTAGAAGGTCTTCATTTAGAAGAATTATGACGCTTCATGGTGAAAGCCGAGTTCCTTCGGAAGCCAAGAGGCCGATGCCCCTTCTAACAACTAGAGCAAAAATTTTTATAGGTACATGGAACGTTCGAACAATGTGGGAAACCGGGAAGACCAGTCAAATAGCAATGGAAATGAGGAGATACAACTTAGCAGTAAATATATACAGCTGAAAATAAAAGACAACTTACCTGTAGTGAAAATGAAGAAGACGTTTCATTTTGTTTACAAGTTGCTTGTATTTTCTGAATTAATTCTGACCATTTAACCAACATATTTCTATACATCGGTAGTTGTATATTATTCTGTTCTTTACATTGTCTTCTTCGCTCGGTAAATATTGGTTCATAATAACTTAACCATGAATTTAAGATTGACTCAAAATTAACAACAGATTTCATAATTTCATAATTTGGAATTTGATTTTGTTGTGGGATAGACAAATAACCGAGAGGAGCAGGAGGAGGATAGTGAATAGGTGGGAAACGTCCAGCATTCGACCAACACGATGGTAATATTGGCTGCAAGGGAAGCGATGACTGATGATTTAGAACCGGTGCAACTATTTGCTCACCAGTTGATGTTGACACTGTTGGTCTATATACAGGCATTACTTGTAATGCTTGAGTATTCCATGAAGAATATTTATGTTCAGGTAACGATGACAGTGATCTACCTCCTAGAAATGGTGAGGAACGAAGCATTGGCGGCATAGATCTGATTGGTGGTGGTCTATTATAATCGGCCATTTTCTTTAAAAAATAATCACTAATAAATGAAAAGCATGAAAATTTATATTACTATTATTAAATTTTCAATTGCAAAATCTAAATCAAATGATGGCGTTTCTCATGTCAGTGCGAACTAACCTTAACTGAATTAATATTAGCCAAGAAACCTAGTATGAAAGGTGATATTACAAAGCATTTAATTGATTGACGTCCATAATACACTTCACAAAGCCTTTCAAATCAATCTTTAGAAGTTTACAATCTACGTTCAAGATGTTTTGTAGATTTCTTCTAATCACTTAACAAGAAAAATAATTATATACGGTATCATAACGGAATTTCAGTTCCAAGCCAATAAAACTCGACCAATGTATAATAGCGAATATATATTTATTATTAACTCTCCACCCAATGCTCAATTTATTTGAAACCAACAAGTCCAACCTTGGCATTGATACCTATAAATGTACAATAACGTTTATACAGTAGTAAAAATGCTGTATAGTGTAGCTCCGATGTAGTGTTTCTTACGATTGGAACAGTTTATATTGTAGATGATGTTCAGTTTTTCTTTTATTTCATTCTTTGGTTAGTATAAGACTGATTGGAGTGATTGTCTGGTTTATGTACCACACCAATTCTAAACGGCCTTAATAATCTCGTAATTTCCGATGCTTTTTATATATGATAAAATAATCTGTCTGGTTTCTGTATTTGATTTCAGTTTTGCTGAAGATTTGAATTGATATCTTTTGACGAACACTTGTGGATGGCCGTTCTTTTGAAAGATATTCATTCATCGAAGACGTTGATCAAATTGTAGGTGTTTTTCAGCTCATCCTTTTTGATGAGGAATGAGTCGTCCAAACAACGAATCTGCGAATCACTAGTAAAATCGAGGCTTACAGTCTCTGTATCATTGCTTATATAATAAGTCCCTATATTGGTGATCTAATTGACGTTCCTTTAGTCTATTCGTAGGTTTTATCGTTAAATTGGGAATATACGTTGATTAGTGATAAATATCATTTGTCCATTCCTTAAAGTTGACTGTTTTCAGTCGATCAAGTTGCAACGTGGTCACCAGTCTGAGTGACTTGATTACATGTACACTCCATTTTGGAGTTAGGGGGATTGAAAGTAGTTAGGAGGAAATTGATCTTATAGGGGGAATCAGTTCACTTAAAATGAAATCAATAAACAGAAAGGTAACCAAATTAGTGTAGGTAACAAGTTCTCTTACACAAAAAAATTTGATTCATTTAACGACAGGAGTATCACAAAACATCCACGGTAATGAACAATCATCACTCAACAAAAATACGATCAACAAGGATAAAATGATAAAAATGGAATCAAAAATTCGTAAAACCAAATCATAAAATACGAGATACATCTCGATTTGTACCACTAAAATTCTCTAACCACTGATTTCCTCTAGTGAAACTGTTCCACTTCATTAACTATAGTTTTTTGAGCGATCATAAAATTAAGTTTGCCTTACAATTTGAATTGGGTAACAATCCACGATTTCGTTAATCTCCTTATTCCAGCTATCACAGTGAATCGAGATCACTACAACGCTAATACTGAACCGGTAATCGTGATTTTTGGGGTCTGAATAACTCGTCAATGATGTGTTTAACATTCCAAGAGACTCTTGGTGACATGGCTTAGAATCAATCACAATGGCGACGGTGTATACACTCGCTGTCTTCCCTTAAACTAAGAGATTAAAATCGCTTCATATCTTTCTTTCTATGAACTAATTCTTTCTTCCTGTACTATATCCTTATTGCAATATTTCTTTTATATATTACCACCTCTGAATTAACCATTTTTATGAATCCGGTGTTCATCTTGTTGTGTTAATGAAGTATGGCAACTTGGACCGATGCATACATGTGCCTGGCCCTACGTTGTAGCTGACTGTTCATCTAAAATACTGCTGACAAGTAAATAGTTAAGAATCCAACAACAGTGAGTAAAAGTAGGTGTTATTATGATGACTAACATGAGTATTAGCTTTTTTTCACTAATATTTGCTAGAATCTATCACTACCAAATTACTACCATTATAGTAAGCTAACAGTTAACATATTTTGCAAAATCAATAAGGACTAATTAAATATCGTGCAACGTGAAACACAATAATTACACCAACTTATTTTTTATTCGAAAATACATTGATTTCACACTGATTGCTTATCCCTTCACAATACTCAACATGGAATTTCAAAGGAATTCCAGTGAGCGCTTTAAAAAAAATGGAAATTAGTTTCCTTTGTGACTACTCATTACCCAGAAGCAATTTATTTTGCTAAGACAAATACGAAGTGTAATATATGTTTAACAAACCAAACATCTTCCAATCATATGTTTTACAATGAACCTTTGACAAAACACTTTATCATATCGGTAGAAAGTGTTTCACCTAAAAACTGCTCACAAATATAACCCAACTAGAATGCGAAATTCGGCAAAATAATCGAAGTAATCCATTTAGAACCAGTCTTGTACAAGTACAATGAATTAGTAATCATTTTTAAACAAACTACGAAAGGCAAGTAGAAATAATATTAAGACAATAAGTTGTTTAATTTGCAATGATGGGAACTATAAACCAATTTTTATTACTGCACTGTAATTTATAATATTTGATTAAATGTCTTTAATCATCAAGTCCAGGCACATTTTAGTTCCTAAATGGTACATATACATTAATCCTAATGGATTAATTTTGATTATATTTGATCCGTGTTCGTATTCCAAATAGTGACTCAGAAATGAGTGATATAACCTCTAATTATTACAAACAATAAAGCCCCTCGCCTTCGCAATTGAGAACTTCTACTGACTTATACTGTTCAGACGACTGCGCAGTACCATATTGAATTGACTTATAACTGACGACTACATTCCTTAGCCGTAAGGTACAAGTTTTGCCAATATAGTGTGTACGGGAGCGCTTTTACTTAATTACACTAATTAAAACTAGAAATAATTAGTTCAGTGTACACCGACTACGTTACTTATATATCAACACCTCCGAAAATCAGAACTGATTTAACTGTATGGATAAATGGGAATGTTAGTTTAATCAGGAACTCAAATTAACAGATAAAAATCACAAACCAAGATGAAAACCTAAATCCAACGGAAAACAATTTGCAAATAAACGAAAATACCACAAAATGAACACGAGAAAAATACAATTTATTTGGTATTAATCAGGAAGTAATATGTACAGATTATACAGGGAAATTTTGTTGTATATAAGGAAGCCTTGGAAAATAAAGTACATGTTCTTATAGTGCGAACATTAAATGTAATCAGTAATGAGTGAATATCTGAATTCGATTGATAATTATCTAAAGATGTTATAATTATTTTGAATGTAAATATGGTTATAAACAACTCGGCTATTATTAACCTAGGAGAAGTATAAACAAGAAATTAACTTCTGAACACAGATAAAAAGATGCTGAAATGAAATCACAGAAGTGAACAACAGTAAAGCTACAGTATAAACAGCATAAAGCATCCAAGTAATGATGAAACAGTCTACATATAAAGGAAAGTGAAGAACATATATAGTGAGCATGTCAAGGAGAAAATAAGCAAATAGATACATTAACACTGAAGAAACAAGTAGGAAAACAAATTTTTGACAATAAGAAAAGTAAATACATTATGTGAATACATATTCTAATGGTCAGTAAGTTATGTGCGAACACGCATACGCAAACACATAGAAAGACCGCTGGTGAAATAAAACAAATAGTAGTACTAGTAAAATACAAGCTTTACTCCCATAAGGCAGCGACATTCCCATGAAATGTGGAAGCGATTGGACCACCTGCTGTGAACAAACGTGTACCTGAAGGGTCATATTCATGTGTATAAACAGCCAGCATTCGACGTTGGTTGAAAAATGTAGGAAAAGATACAAAATCAGAATGAATATTGCCAAAATAATTCATTCCTAAAAAAATAGGTCCTAAATGTGGATCACGGATTTGTAAACGTGGTAAACCGAAAGGCATTACTACATGTGTAGAAGGTGTATCAATTTCATTTGGTTCACTTGAACTTTGATTATTACCATCCAGAGAATCCACCGTCGCAGTCTCATTATTTGTGGTTGACTGGAGGTCATCGATTGGGAAGTATGATTCAGATAATGAAGAATCATTACCATCCTCTGTAGTGGTATTCTGTTGATATGTATCACTTCGAAGATTAGCATAAATTGACCTATCAGACACCGACGCCTCGACAACTGGGTAGGTGTTTAAAGCTCCAGCCACTGCCATGCTACGCCGACTACGTAAACTTGACAAACGATGTTGGATTCTATCTAAACGAACACGTATATTGTTAACAACTTCAGCCCTAAGTTGTGATGAACGAACAGTATTTAGAGACCGTGTCAAAAGAGCTGGATGTGCAGGGGAAGGTGGTGGAGAAGGTGCATTCCAGTTAGAACTTTGAACTGTTGCTTGAGGTTGTGAAACCGGTCTGGAAATAGGGGCAACTGAAGAAGACACAACAGACGGTATCTCGAATTCGTCACATGTTTGTGGTTTCAACCAACCAGGACCAACGTCCAACTGTATTGGCAGATGATGATCACTTCTAAGGTCATAAAAGTGCACTTGACCACTGGAAGTGCCGTAAGACAAAACTGATTCAGCAAAGTTTAAAGACCGGACACCTGACACATCTAAAGGAGGAAGTATACAGCGTGCTGCAGCTCCGACCTTGACTGTAGAACACCGAATATCAAACAAAAGTACACAGTGATGAGTTGCAAGTGCTATGCAATTAGGTTCAGATGGCCAACGTCGAAGAGCTACAGCTTCCTAAAATGAGATTTAAAATAGAAGAACCAATAAATTTCAGCGACTTGAAGTGAACTGAAATTACCATTACTGATAGTTTTTACAATTGAGGTAGCTTTTAAAAAAGCATTACAACCTGAAACAAATGATGAAAATAGCAGTAAGGTGCAATGACGCAGAGCAGTTTCGCATTAGGTTTGTTTAGTTTGTTTTCATTATATTCGACTATCACGTCGTTTGCAAGAAAAGAATAAGGTTATTTGGCTGAGATCAACAGTTGAACGAAGAAAAACCATAACTTAGAAAAATTCAGTAGTCGTTTAAGTTTTTATTATATGATTGTTTACATGGTTATCATTTATTAACGAATGTCTATATTACATGCATCTTACTTCTAAATGAGATATGAGTCATTCAGAATTATTTGCAATGGTGTTGACAGACTTAATAGTTATTTTGTGTTTAGTAGACAAAGTATTCTCAATTATTAACTCACATTGTTTTTTATATCTACTTTGATTTTATCATACTTTTAGTATTCTTTCCTTTCTGTATTCTTTTATTGAATAAAAGTGAATCAACGTGAATCATAATCACCAAAATGTATTTCACACAATAACTGACATTATTCGATACGATACGATCAGCGTCAGTGGCTTCCATTAAAAACGTGACTTAAAGTTCTATACACTGAAGAGGTTGTTTTCCATAACTCACCATTTTTAATAAATTTCACAACCCTCTCAGTATGCAACACGGTCATTTAATGTTCAAGTGGACTGACGTCCAAACAGTATTGCTACTTACAATGTACGTTAATAATAAACGTCACGGTAAATTTACAATATAGGTATAAACCAACCTGATAAGCATCTCTCAAAACTAAAGTGTAAATCGGACGTGTCCGTTTATCCAGACCCATTCGAACAGCGTCATATAAGTACAGGCGACGCGACATTGATACAACTGCAAGGCTTGTCTGGGTCGGAAGATACTCCAAAGCACGAAAACGATCATCAGGTGTAGATGACATGGCGTACGCGATAGGACGTCGGATATGGAATACAGATGAATCTGGTGCGGCGTTGGCACTTTGGTATATTCTGTTGTCATTGTTAGGGTATTGTTCGGAAGACGGAATCCGCCATAAAGCTAACGATGAGTCTCGCGAACATGACGCTAAACAGGTATCATCTAGCCACCGTAAGTCAAAAACCCAATCATTATGGCAATCCTAAAAGTTAAATTTAGGGGATAAAAACTAACTCAAGTGCCTGCAGTCGGTTATAAAAAATTAATATTGGTTTTTTGTGTAATAATTGGTCAAAATGACTTATAAAATAACTACATATGCGAAATTTGAAGACAAAATGTTTTAAACCTTTATTTTGAACAGATACACAGTATATGAGTACTGTTAAGTACAACATAGTAACAATGTAAAAGTCTGAATGTCCAGTTTTGAAGTACGTTTAGTGTAAAGATGAATGGTGCTAACGGTTGAAATGAAGTACTTTGAAAATTATAACTTGATGAATTGGACCAAATTTCTAAACTGGAACTCCACGCAAACACAAGAAGCCTTCAACTAGAAGCTACTCTTGGAAGCTCGGTGGATAGCATTATTGTACAGTTTATTACCGACATCTGATTAGGTGCACCAGGTGACGAATCCCTTATTTTATTCTTGAGGTATAATCATAAGAGCGTGAAGACTATTTGCCACCTTCAGCCATTTACCATTGCCATGTTAACTGTTGATTGTTATACCTATAGTGTTTGCGAATGCATAGGAATGTACCGGCATACTGATTGATTTGGGCGACGCACATGCAAATAAAGCGACGAAGAACACTGTACGGATGTGCAATAGTCCTGTAATTCGAACTCTTCTGCCTTGTAAAAACCTCTGAGTTCTTAGTCAGAAAGATCAACTTACCTTGGTAGTTTCATAAAATAAAGGCATTGCGTTCACGGTGAGACCTTTAACGTGCAGTCGAAGAGTTGATGAAGGAGACATAATGGTAGATCCGTTCGGATTCCAACCACCAGGATGGAACTTCAACTCCTGTTTCACATAATTTCGTCAGTAGCAGGGTATTAATGACCAACCTCCACATATAAAGTGTGTCTCAAGGTTGAGTACAAAAGCCTGTTAGTCAATAAAGGTAATAGTATTTTAGAAAAATTCGAATGGATAGCGAATGTGTCTCCCTCATCTTGACTGACGTCCTACCACGTAATCTGACGTTTATCACCACGTTTGTCACGGTGAAGATAGCTCAGTAAGTCTGCATCTAGTTTAAAACGACCAGAATTCATCAATGTGAACTCATATCTAATCATACCACTGTTCAAAACAAGAGACCTATCCAAGCATAAATTTTATGAAATCTAACCATACCGTACTTTAACTTACGCAAAGTAAACAGTGAGGAGAAAATTCCGACAATCTATAGACTCCGATATGATTGACATTATCTCCCCCTGTAGCTATAAACGTTTTCGATGTATTGAGCTGAATGGAATGAATGCCACAAGCACAAGGATTAATTTGATTTGCATATCTAAAATATTAACACATTAGGAATATAATTTCCATACGGAGTATCTGATTTTATCAAAGGAATGTCAAAGCTTTCATTTGAAGAGCAGTCATATAGAACTAAATTGTTACATTTTGTACCATAGACAACATGGTTATTGGTAATCCACTGACAGGCGAAAATTTTATTTCTATGGCCAGGATCCAGACTGCGTCTTTGCCATACGAATGGGAACTTAGATGAAGACTCTGGTATCTGACCCGTACCAATGTACTGACTCGTGCCTAATTCACGAGAACGCAGTAACTTTATGATTGGTTTGAGTTTCTAAAATAGAGACCAACTGCTGGTGAATCTAAAAACCTTACCTGTCCATTAAAAACCTTACGTTTAGTAGGAGGTACCATATAAAATCTTTGAACTTATCACGGGAAAACAAGCAAGTTGTGACTAGCGCCCGAATTGATGAATTAAACGCCTCAAGGTCGTATAGTAAAACTACCTTTAAAGACTGATGAAATAATGTGTTTACATTCAGTTTTACCACTAACTTTATGGTGAGCTAGTGCAAACTGGTTGAGTTTTCTGCAATTCTCAACTGTCAAAAAGATAGATAAATTTTTGCTGGGTTTCACCCATGTGTTGGTGTGTTCATCCGTGTTCTACATTAAAGTAATCTCGGGTGCAATTTGGTGCTGAAGCATGTAGGATCAGTGAAATGTCACTGAGATCTAGCCAAATCATCCATTAAGTTGGATGCTATGCTGGACGACAGAACACTGAGCGTTGAATATCTTCAAGTTCAATCAACCAACTTTCAATAATTATTCCAACATTGAGGACTAAGCCATGAAGCAGCATTAGCATTTTTGGTGACATCTATATTCAGTGATTTTTTGTAACGACAAGATAAAAACCACATGTTTTCTATTTTGTTACACTTTATATGTAACCACATTTATATTCAATATCTAATGTTTCTCTGTATCAGTGATAAAGAAACAGATATAATTGTTTGGCCACGGCCTGTGATTGAAGACCAATATAGTTTTATAACATTCTTTTAGGCCTTTCTACACTACGTTGCATTTTCGGCCCGGATTGTTATTGAATAGTACTATTGGATTCAATCTTGCTCATTACGCCATTGGTGCCACCACGTGAAGAGGAATCTTTTTTAATAAAGTGGACTCATTTGTGGTTGTTATTTTAAAAAGCAGCTTACACCACCGTAAACCTGGTAAAAGTATCTAACCTATAAGTACACTTAAAGAATCACTAAATTTCACACACATAGTTCACCCTATCTTCTTGAAGAAAGCAAGAACTATGATTTCAGCAGAATTATCACGAATTCATTATACTTCCTTTGGTTCTCGCCAGCTGCTGACAACCTGTGATGTCTAAAATGTATATTCACAAAATATATTTAAATTACTTTAGTGATAGAGTTTAACTGGAAGTTGCTTCAGAGGAACACCGGTATAGTGTAGCAAGTATGTAAATAAATTTTATAAACTGAATAAAATATCTTAAGTATTTACCCTATATAAAAGAACATTCAACAATATTGATTGTAATGAAGATCCAAAGGGCTAAAAACCAGTAGTTAAGTAATGAGTAAACGGTGATAAGAATAAAAAATGAGTAGAGCTCAGGCAATAAAATAAAACAGCTGGTCCACATGACAGTCGAAATAAAAAGGCGTAATGATGCAATTAAAGGAAAGAGTTTTAAATAATTTTCATGGTGCATTGAAGGAATACTTGTCACCAGGACAAGGGAATAATAATAACGATTACCCTTAGAACACACAAATTAGGTTTTTGAAGCAAACGTCAGAACACTGGGTCTGGGATGTATATTGATCATTCTGAAAGATTACAAGACATCGGACTGATGTTTTGTACCCAGGAGATGTTTAGTAATTGCATTGTTTAAAGTCCTTATTTCGCAGAATCATGCTCTACTTTGGTATAATACTGCATATTTAAGTGTGAGGGGAACGATAACTCTGCCATCAAATCACGAAAACCCTCAGGGTGTATTGATGTGCCTCCTCTCTTGTTAAACCCAAGAAACCTATGGTTGCACTGAATTTTCACCGCTTTTATACGTACTAGTGTATATCACAAGTTTTACTACACACACAAGTAATAGTTGAACCAGTATACAATAACCTTCGTTAAATAGTCTTTCCAAAGAAATCCGTTATATAAAATCTGTTGAATCAGTGCTCAGCGTTGATGAAATCATGAGCACTCAACTCTGATTTTGATCACAGGTTCACGACTGCAGATGACTGGTAGAGTGACTGGGTTGGATAGTAAATAAACGTCAACTCCTAATCACCAGCTACAACGTACAATTTTACACTAGATAAGTGTTTATGCAGATTTTTACTTACCATACCCCATCTAAAGCCTCTTTTACGGTTTGAGAATGTCCTTGTTCAATTTCGATTAATTGCCTCAAAACAAAAATAACAGGTTTCTCATTTTATTCCAAAACCATACCTAACCCCAAATGAGATGCATCTGTAGTATTGATAAACTTTTCGGTTGATGAAAACAGTGTGAGGAAAGCCTCATCATTTATAACCGTGCTGAGAATTCTATATTGAACCAAAATTTAATATTGAATAAAGCCATTAATAATGATAATAATAATAAAGTCTTCCTCATTAAATAGTCATGTTTTTGTTGCCCTTAAAGATGGCACAGGTATTGAGATTTTGACAACGCTTTTACCAGTAACACCTTCTAATATAATTCGTGCCCACCAAGAGATATCAAAAGACAGAGTCGAGGAGATCGGAATAGTGTATTCGGCGATAACCAATATACCGAAATTCTCTGATCTTATCTGGCTAGCGATTGCAGTAGATGTTGAGCACAGCGTTACCACACGTGATCTGGTGCGGATGTATGAATGAGCACCTTCAGCTAGGTGAGTCCAATAAAACTAATCTGGTCAGCATCCAATGTCGAAAACTTACAGAGCTATTTATTTTGGGGATTTATTTACCGCTACACCCTAAAAACCTTTCTAGGACTGAGGATGAAAAGTGAATCTAATACTTTTGTAAAGTTAAAAATAATTACAGAGCATTGACCCACTATCCCACTGCTGACAAATTCGTGGTTGAGGGTGCTTAGATCAGTGTAACTTGGCGAATCATATCAAGTTTGAAACATCAAACGTCTACAGTTTAGTCTAAGCAGTTGATAGAATTAAGTTTGAACTGACGCTTGTAAGGATTTACGGCCATATTTGTCACACAATCGTTCGGATGACTTTAAAAAACCTTCATTATGTAACTTAATGACTTCATTATGAACTACAATATCATCCTGATACGTTTCAGCACCATCTAGACTGATCATATTCTGATTTATTATCTTTTGGAACATTGTAATGGAAAAATTAAATCAGAACGGTAAGAACTTGTATCTGGACAGCCTAAATGATCCATTAATAGTAGTTAGTATACTAGAGGTTTTATCTTATAGAATTCGCGAATATGCATCTCACAAGTTTATTTTGGAAAAATGCCTTGATCCCAATATATATACAAAATATCTTGGGTGTATTTGTAGAATCATGGTCTACTTATTTATTAGCATTGCTCTAGTAATTAATCTAATCCTAAATTTGTAAATTTGTCATGATGTGACTGCCTAATCTAAAAAGTCTTACATGGAAGTCACATCACTGTCTACACTGACTCATTGTACGTATGAAGTTTGTAAAAACACATTTAGGCTAAAGACAGAATAATGTGTTTAGTGTGAGTAAAGAAAAGTTATACAGAATGACCACGTCTGACGTGCTTAGCCATGCCAACCAATTTATTGAACTAATGATCCCGCGTTATCCATTATTAACCTACTCTTTGTGTTGATTGTTGAACACAAATCTTCTTAGTAATTATATGAAAGACTTCAAAGGCCGTTCGGCTACGGTTCAATGCCTCTACATATTCAATGGTACGACGTTGTCGAAAAAGCCAAGTATTTAGTGTCATGTTGCAATCAGTACGGATTCTATATGTTTTTCTGTTCATTTTGATAGAATCACAATGGAAGTATCCCTTTTGGACTATTGGGCTGAGATTTTTATCCTTTTTTCAATCAATTTATCTAGCTTATCATTTAAAGCCTCACTAAGACCATATGAAAATAGCCTACGTTCCAAGAATACTTCTAAGTGTCTAAAAGCCTCGTATATGAAGAAATGCGTACGTCTGGTAAACTTAGGCCCCTGAACACAAGCACTAATGAACTATATCCATTAACTACTAACGGAATATTGACACAACTACACTCTACTTTCCTCGATGGAATATTAAATGTAACAATAATGGGTAAATAATGGCTAGTCAGACCAGTAACTTCATAGCCGGTAAACTTAGAAGGGATATCATTATGAAAAGCAACCGATTTCTATTACAAATTACTGGCTGTACGCTGCCGGAATCAACAATAAATGAATGAGACTTACCTGCGTTAGCAATTAATTCTCGCACTAAATGGGAAGTGCGGCTGCAGACGGTAGTGAACGACAACAATTCCATTCTTCTGACCTAATCAGTTGGTCATGATCCATCATCATTCAGTCTCCAAGTAGTAAACGACTTGAAACTTTTGCGTAACTTTGCATATGTCTAAGCTATTCTCAGTAACAACAATCTGCATAATGGAACTGATATAAACTACAAAGATGCAGTTAACTATATGAAAGACAGACTAAATACCAAAAGACAAACTAGTGTGCCTTACGAATTGTTTACTTTTCTGAATGAATCCAAACTGTTGTTCTTAGGAGTCAGAGATAACAATAAATTTAATTTGTTTCATCTCAACGAGTGGAGAAATTGTGTTTCTGACGCTTCGTGACTCAATGTAAGCCACTTCTTCAGAGTATATAAATAGCCGAAATTAAAGTAACACAAGTTTAAAACGTCAGAAACCAACTTTTTGCCCATTGAGATATAACAAAGTATATATATCTTTAAAAGAATATAATATTTGCAGAGTGAATTGAATTCACTACATTTCAAGCCTTGTTGTGAGACGCGAACGGCTAGAACTTGCAAATAAAATATTAGTACAAAAATGTTATTGCACACCATAATTTTTATATCCTAGTGAATGTTAAACTACGGGTACCTTCTGAAAACTAATAATGGACCAATATGATATATATATGTACATTCATTTTGTATGACTATTCAGTGACTAGACTGTATACATCTGTATTCATTATACTATTTACTAATCTTTAGTTGTGTTCAATTTATTGATTGCATTTTCCCACGTTCACAGCCACGTTTTGACTTGATCTTGTATAAATGTTATTTCCTATCTTATGGAGTGATGTGGTCTCTATGACTTGTATAAAACCA